GGCTGATCCCCTGGGCAGAGACGGTGCCTGGCTTCTTCCTGGTGCCTGGTCCCCCGTCCTCCGTCAGCCTGCGAGCAAGCAGAGAAGAACTAGGCAGGGCTGGGCCAAGTTATGGGGAGAGGAGCCCTGAATGGCCTGCATCGCAGGAGAAGCTGCCGGGGCTGCCGCCAGGGAAGCGCCGCACGCCTCCCCTCTGGCTGGCCAGGGCGGCTTCTCGAGGACGCTCTCCAGGACGGTCGGCTCCATTGCTCCAAGCCTCATCGTGGGGGTATCGGATGGCAGGTGGAGCCCAACATGGGATCTGAAGTGCGCTAGTTGGAGGCCACACCCGGCCCAAGGCAAGAAGGACACGTTGTTTCCGACTGAAGGAGCCAGGGAGGGAATATAAGGGGGAGGAGAATGACACAGGAGATAGAAAAAGTGCTGCGGCCCCAGACATCGTGCAGAGAAGAAGAAGAAGGAGGGAGGGGAAGGGCCTGGAGTCTGAGAGGCAGCTGCAGGCAGCCAGAGAGTCACGTTTCAAGGGAATTCCAGGCGGTGACTCAACAGCTTTGTGATCACAAGGACGGTGTGATCTCAGGGTTGAGACGGGTGCAAAAAACAGCTGATTATTCCTAACTGAAAAACATTCTTCCACTCCGAACACCAGGAGGAACCGAATGGCAACTGTAGCACACTGGATGGAACTGGTGGATGGGAAAGGTGCTCCCCCCACCCCCCCACCCCCCGCCGCTCCTCGTGGTTCTTGCCCCGACTGGCTAAGGCTCTCCGAGTTCACCAGCCCTTCCCGACCTGGCTCCGGGTTGCTTCTCTCCTGGATTAGTTTCTTCTTGTCCTGCCCCTGGGTGCTGTGGTTGACCCCCACCTTCTCTGGGACTGTTTTGCACAAATTAAAGGCGAATCTGTGAACAAAGGATGAAATCTCTCCCTGTGGTCCAATCCAAAGAGATTAAGGCAGGTTAACCCATGAAATGCCCTTGAAGGAACACCCCAATTACTTGATGCATCGTTTATTTAATTTTCTCCTCCCTCTTAAGGCTGTGCCTGTCTTTCTCCACGCAGGCTTACACTTTTTCCTGTGATGGATTAACAAATGGAATAGATTGCATTACTTTCTTTTGCACAGTTGAAACCAGCAAGGCCCAAAGAAGAAATAGATTGCAGTTACAGGAAAGCCGATTCCAGGTATTGAAACAGTAATTGACAGAGGAAGTTCTCCTAGAACCATCTTGTGACATCACAGCCATTGCAAGAAATGCTTTGCTTTTGTTTAACTCATTTCCTTCCTTTTGATCATAAAGTGTGTTGCATCATACCCTTCTCAAGGAAAAACTGAGTAATATTTTCAACTGATGCAAAAAGTTGGGCAGTTTCTCACTTTCCCAAGGAATTTAGCAACCAAGCCTTGGTGGAGGCTTTTGGAAACCTATTGGGGCATATATTTACCATTGTGGAATAGTTAACCTGTAGCCTCCGCTTCTATCTAACATTTTTTATTGGTAGCTCTAGGTCTAAACAAAGTTGATTACCTGAGCCCAAAGGCAGCGCTCTTGCTCTGGGGGAGAGGGACAGAGAGGGATGAACTTGCTAAGCAACCAAGTTGGTCTGGAAGAAAAAGTACACAAAACTCTTTCTGAAGGCTATTTTTGCATGACCTGCACTTTCACAAGGGCAGAGTGCATTATCTCTATCTCTGGGTATAATTGGATGAAGGACAACCTTTAAGGTTGGACTGTCAGATTGACACACTTCGTATTTGGGGGTAGCCACCACGACTGGCTTCTTCGCTGGGAGCTTGCAACCAATGATGAAAACCCCCTTTAGGCCTCAGGCTGAAGCTTCCACTGCTCTTAAGGTGGCCTCCCACAAAGGAGGGTGGGGGTGGCTCCCAGCACCAGCCCCGGCAGAAACAAGCTCCCTCCGCAGTGGCCAGCTCTGGAGGGCCACCTTGGCCTGGTGGCCTCCCTTTCCTGCCTCCTGGGGAGAGCTAAGCTGCTGCTGTGGCAGCGGCTCGCTTTGTTCTCGTGATACGGACGCTTCCCGAGTCAGAGAATCCGTGGCCACTGCAATCCCTGGTAAAGCGCCCGGAAGAGCTTGGCCTCCCATCCGCCCTCCCAGCCTTGCCCCGCGATCTGTCTTCCTGGAATCAAAGGCCTTGCCCCTCAATTCTGCGAGGAAAAGTTTCTCTTCAGGTGGTAGGGAAGGGCTCTTCGGTCCCACCTGAGGCTGTCTTGCTCGGAGGCCAGGTGGGGCCTCGGTCTCCCCTCATCCGCTTTGGTTCCAGAGGCTCCGGCCATCGGCCTTGCGCTTCTCTGCCTCAGAGCCGGATACCTGAGGAGGGGGTCTCTGCAGGGCAGAAATATTAGTTCCCCTGATTTGGGAAATGACTACTTCCTGTTGCTTCCATCCTAGTGGCAGTTTCCTTCCTTCCTCAATCTAGTTGTAGGATCGGCTTGAGCAAGTATCGTCTTGTGCCTCTACCCTTGGAAGGCGAGAGTTAGAAGGTACCTTGGAGATCTTCTAGTCCAACCCCCTGCCCTGGCAGGAGATCCTATACCATTCTGGACTTTCTTTGGGCTTGATGGGATGGTCAGCAGAGCAAATCACTATTTTCTCGGATGGCCCATCCTTAGCAGAGCTTATCCCTCAAAAGATTGTTGGGACATTTATTGATTTATTTTTCATTAAATTTATTTATTTATTAAATTTACCACAGGGTAACCCTGGGAGACTTACAGTATAAAAACATAAAACTACATAAAACCTAATAATATAAATAGGTAAAGGTTTCCCTGTCAGTCAGGTCCGGCACGCGTCATGTGCTTGCTTGTCTCCGTTTCTTGGCCGAGGGAGCCAGGTTGTCCAAAGACCCTTTCCAAGGGCATGAGGCCAGCATGACTATATGCCAAGGCGCCCAAAACGCTGCTGCCTGCCCACCGAAGGGAGGCCTATTAATCTACTTATATTTGCAGGCTTTTGAACTGCCAGGTGGGCAGGAGCTGGAGCAAGGAACGGTGCTCCCCCCATTGCGCAGAGCTCGGGTCTCGAGCCCTGTCTGTCAGCTCTTCAGCTGGCAATCTCAGCATCCTTAACCACTGAGCCATTGTGCCCCCTACTGCAGAGGTCTACAATGTCTAACAAGGGCACAATTGGTACAGACCAGAAGAAAAGCTGAAAGAAACCCAGCAGTGGCTTTTACCTCGCCTCTTGGTCAGCAATTCCCTCTCTGTCTTTCTTGGACCCAGAGGCTCAGCTGTTTCCTGGTGCCAGATTTTGTTAGAAATGTTTTCCTTTCAGTTTTGGGGGGGTGGAATATCCCCACACTGAGCAGCTTTGGAGATAGTTTTGCCCCAGGGAATATATTTTGTTTAATGCTTAATGAAGATGAACGGACAGCAGGGGATGAAAGACTGTGGCCTTCACCTATGAAACATCGGCTGTGAAATGGTTAAAATGTATGTATGGGATGTTACTGGATGATAGTTTTCTCTACCACGGCTGGAGGGGGGGGGGGAACCTCCTAATCTGGCAGGAAATCCAGACTTCAGAAATTCATGGTGTCCTTTTTGCATTTGTCAGGTTACCTCAACAGTGCAAACATTAAACTGGTGGCATCTTTTGGGCAGCGTCCTTGTGCCAGGCAAGCCTCCCCATGACAGGGCCCGAGAAAAGCCGCCCGGAGCCCTTCCCCGTTTCTTCAGACCATCCGGGGAGGGGAGAGAGCCCAGCTGGCCTCCTTTTTCCCTCCCTTCCCTGAGACCCCCCCCTCCTCCTCCTTTCCTGGTTTTGGCCCCACTGGGCTTGGAAAGGTGGCTTAGAGCGCCCCCTGCTGGGCAGAGGAGCAGAGCAGGGAAAAGGGGGCGGGGGGCTGCTGCTGGCCGCAGACCGGCTCCCCTCCTCTGGAGGAAGCAGGGAGGGAGAGACTCGCCCAGCGGGAGCCGGTTTCAGGGGAAAGGAGTCCCCGGGTGGAGGGTCTCTGCTTGTGCCTCATATCCAAAGTGTTCCACGAAGACCCTTCAAAACACTGGCTCACACGTGAACCGTCATCTTGGCTTACGTTTATTTAAACTGTCCCATCCTGGATGTGCCGCAATCACCGGGTCTAGGATTGTTTCCCACCTGTTTGTTAGCCTAAGCCACAAGAAAGGCACCTGCGGGCCTCGCTCCAAAGATCCTGGCAGGAGAGAGCGACTTTCGCTCCCCTGGGCTGCCCTTTCCGCAGAGGTCGGGGGGGCTTCTCCCTCCCGGCTGCCAAGCCACGGGAGGTAGAACCAGCTCCCCCATTTAGTCTAAGCGGCCGGAAGCCGTTTCCCTCGCCTCTTCCCAGCAGGTTAGAAAGTCTGGGAAAGCAGCTGTGGGCAAAGCTGGAAGTCAGAAGCTCCCCTTCCACGGGGCACAGCCGTCCACCCCAGCTGGATGCTTCTCACCGCAGCCTCTCCAGATGGACGCCAGGAAGGCTCACGCCAACCGAGGCTCCTCGTCTTCAGCTCTGGATGTCCCAACAGAAAAATGGCTCTGGGCAACTCTGAGCGCCTGCCGCCCCTGGGCCCATCGGAGGAGTCCACCTCCCTTGGCGTGGTTGGAGGCCAGGGGCTGTGGAGGAGGCTGTCCCAGGGCCCTCGGCGGCAGATCCCCTCTGAGGAGGAACAGCTGCCTCCCTGTCCATCCCAGGGCACGGAGGGGCTGCAAGGCTACTCATGAGGTGGTCGTCCCGCTCCTCCTCACAGGGAACACCTGGAGGGGGGGAGGAGCTGTGGGGGCTTCCAGTCTTGGACGGGAGGAATGGCCTCTTGGCTTACACTCCCCGGCTTTGTGGGCTACTTTGCCTTGTGGAGTCGCTTCGCCGCGTGGACTGGGCTTGGCAGCCTGCTCCTTGCCCTGTGAGCATGGCCCGGCCTACCCAGGGGGCCTCCTTTGCCACACAGGGGCCGTTGTCTGGGGGGGGGGGGGCTCGGGGGGGCTGCCTTCAAGGGGGCGGGGAGAAGGTAAACATACTTGCGGCCTCCCCTGTTGAACTTCTAGCAGCTGCCAAGGGATTCACTTTCTTTTATATGCCTGACTAATCTCGCAACATTGCCATGGCCTTAACTTAAATTTATTTTAAAAATATGCCAGTAAAGGGATTGTAGCATCCAGGCCCTTTGAGCCGCCGCAGTAACAGCCACCTCTCCTCTCGGGGAGGAAGGAAGCACCGAAGACAGCTGAGGCGCTTAGGTGGGCTGGGGATCCGGGGAGGGCCAATTCCACGATCCGGCAAGGCTGGGAAGTGGAGGGAGAAGCTCCTTGAGAACAGAACGTGGTCAGCGGTGAGGACACCTGAGAGGGCAGCTCTTCCGGTCAGTGGCTGGGAGGCAGCAGGACAGGCCGGCCGGCCGGCCATGAAACGCCCGGTGCAGCTGTGCATGCAGAGGCAGGTGAGGAGCTCAAGGGAAGGTGAGGATCTCCAGGGCCTGCTGCTCCAGGGAAGGACGCTGGTCCTGGTAGTTGGCGGGGTGACCGTTCCTGTAGTGGCCGTACTCAAATTTGATCCTCAGTTCGCCAATTTTGGACAGGGGGAGGATGTCTGGGATCCACTCAATGATGAAAGGCGTCGGCTCCTTTTGATCCGGGGACGTGTTACCTAAGAGGAGGAAAATGAGAGGAGCCACTTCCCAGCCACATCGGGGGGGGGGGAGGAGGGGGGGAGCCAGCTCTGGGCACACTTACCAACTTTCAAGAAGGTTTTCAGTTCCAGGGGGCGAAGGACCGGCTGCTTCTCCAGGCGTCCGTAGGTCTCGGCGATGCTCTCCACCTCCACTTTGGGGCACCTGAAAGGCTCGTAGGTCCCATCCCGGTTCTGGATGAAGCTGCGGGTTATTTCCAGAGGCATCTGGAAAGAGAGGAGATGAGCAGCATCCCCAGAGAAACCTTCCCCACCTCACTGCAGAAGGAAGGAAATGTTTGCTCCAGAAGAGGAGATCTAGAAAGTTTGAAACCGGTGAGAAGACCGGGAGAGGCTCCTTCCTTCGTCTCTCCCCAAACACGCCCGATGTTTCTTCCTCGGCTCGGAAAAGGAGGGAAACGGGGCTCACCTCAGGGGTGTCGAAGATCTGCTTGACCTGCAAGATGTTGGTGAGGTGCCACGTATACTTGGAAAAGGTTCCCAGCGGTAAGGCGTCTTTGCGGACAAAAGCTGGAAGCAAAACATCGGCCGGTGATGTATAACCACATACCTGTTTCTGGGCGTTTTGTGCTAGTGAGATTATAACCATGTTAAATAAAAGCAGGTCGAAGGCCTAGGGAACAACCCAAATAAAAGCATCTCCCTGGTTATTGTGAAGCGACAGGACCCATCAAGCCAACAAATACATCTGAGCCAAACAGACCCTCCTCTCTTTGGCCAGAAGGGGGAAAAGGGGAGAGGGTGCCAAGCGTATGTGTGGGAGCTTCAGGATCTCTGAGGGGCCCCCTCCCCTTTTGCAGAAGGCCCCAGCACCCCTTTCTTAGGGATCCTGAGGAGGGGAGGGGCCCTCAGAGATCCTGAAGCTGGGAAGCCCGGGAGAAATCCAGTCCAAAGCAGCAGCAACCAGGGGCAGCTCGGCTCATATCAGGCTGGTTCGTAGGATAGGAAGGCGGTGGGGGGGGGGGAAAGCCCTGGGAGGGCCCCCCCCCCCCCCAGCCTGCCCTCTGCAGCCCAGGCCCCTTCAGCAACCAATGCCCCCACACATCAGGGGCTTTCTCCCGGCCAGCCAAGCGCAGGCACCGGCCAAAGCAGCCTCTCCCATCAGGACCAAAGAGTGGCCGGCCAACACGCCCCGCCTGCTCTCAAAACTGGCCACTGGGGAACACGGTTCCAACCCCCTGGGCCACCCCCTGGGTCTGGGGAGGGGAATGCCCAGGGAGGGTCGTTGGGCTGAGGGTGTCCATCAGCCGCGAGCCCTGCGCTCTTGGCCAGTCGAGCGAGGGAGGCGGCTCCCCACCCCCGGGCCAGCCGCAGCCTCAACTGCCCAGTGGTCAGAGCCCAGGAGGGCTGAGGGAGCAGCGGCGGAGGACGGCTCCATTGCTTCACGGCTTCTGCACAGATGCCGGCAGCTGCAAAGCAGAGTGGCGGCCACAGACAGAGGCCTTCGGCTGGCTGAGTTTGTGTCCAGCCCAGGAGAAGCCGGGGTGTGCGTGCGTGTGTATGTGTGCGTGAGCCGTGGGGGGGAAACGCTCTGGAGACCAGCACCTGTCGTCGAGTTGGGGAGCCGCATCTTGATGCTCCCGAGACCGATGCGCTGCTGGAGAGCCTCGAAGAAGGTCTGCGGGATGTGGAAGACCAGGGGCTCCGGCTTGCCTACGGGGAACACGCAAACCCAGGGAGCCTCCGCTGAAGCTTCTGTGCCTTCTTGAAGGGGAAGCAGCAGCCTCAATGGGCCACGGAGGAAAGGAATGGCCTTGAGGGGCGGGGGGAGAAGGGGGGCCTAAGCCCCAGCGGAGAAAAGGTCGGGGGGGGGGGGGGGGGGGGGACTTTCCCTGCAGCCTCAGAGGAGCGCAGGTCCGCGTGGCAGAGGTTGCCCAGCCGGGTCTTTCTGGCCAGCAAAACCTTCCAGAAGTTTGGGGACTCCCCAAACCTCCGCCGGGCTGGTCCCTAGAGCCCGACCGCCAGCCTGGGAAAGGCCCTGCAAGAACCTTCCCCGCTGAGGCGGCCTGCCTGGGACCGGCCCGCTCTGAGCAGAAGGGGAGAGAAAGGCCACGGCAGGAAAGAGAGCAGGCCCCCCGGGCTCCGCCCAGCCGTGGCCCCGGCTGCTCTCGTGGCTCCCAGGTGGGCCCCGAGGGCAGGGCCCCAATGGGGCCAGCTGGAGGCCACGAGGGAGGCTCGCTCTTCCTCTGGCCCTGACGGGGGCCCCCCCCTCGGCTAAGGGACCTTTCGGAGGCTGCCGGGAAGGACTCACCGTCAAACTGGTAGTGCATGGCCTGGTGGATCCGCTCCGTGACGCTGGCCAGCCACTCCAGGAAGGACAAGGCCACCTGCGACTCCTCCAGCACCTGAGTGCCAGCTAAGCGAAAGGAAGGCAGGAGCAGCTGCGAGTCTCGCTCCCCCCCCCCCCCCCCCCCACCCCCGGGGGCGCAGCAGCAGCCCCCCGCGAGGGGGGGCAGGACCCCCCCCAAAGGACACCCCCCCCCGCTTTGGAGTCTGAAATGTCCTCCCAGGGGACTTTGAGCCCGGCTCTTTAGGGTGGCCTCCCCAGGGCTCTCCTGCCTCCTGTGCTCCTCCCCATCGCCTCCACCCTGACCATCCCCGACTCTCCCCCCTCGTGTCCCAAAGGCGGGCGGGCAGGCGGGTGGGCATCCTCCCTGGCATTCCACGCACACCCCACTGGACTAAAACCCGGCGGACCTCTGGCTTCTCTTCTCCGCCACGGACATTTTCCAGCCAGGAGGCCCTGTTGCTCCTTCCCGCTTCGTGTGCAAGTGCACGGCTGGCCGTCTCAGCCCCAGCGAAGGGCCCTGGACGGCCTTCCCAACAGCCTGGCCTAAGCTTGAGGGGGGGGGGCATCTGGATGAACTCACATTGCCTTTTCAGGGATGCAACGGCCGCCTTCTTCAGGCCGTTCTTCTGCAGGGAGCTGCTTGCCAGATCCTGAGACAAGGGGGTGCTGCTGGCTGGCATGCCTGCAAGGCCAGATGGGACCCCATCAGAACCAGGCCGAGCCTGGCCTGGCCTCTCTGGGGCATGGAGCCTGCATCCACCCAGGAAAGCAGCCGGCGCTGGAGCTCCTCACCCGGCCCTTCGTCCTTCTTCTTGCGCTTCGCTTTGGAGGCCACCAGGTTTCCCGAGGGCAGAGGGGATGCCGGCTGGGAAGCAAGCGGAGCCCTTGCCGGGGGTATCAGCCCTGCAGTTGGGGCAGAAAAGCGGCTGCTCCGTTTCTGAGAAGAGCCGGGGAGCCCCTGCGGGCCGGCAACTCCCCACCCAGCTGCCCCCCAAAGCCAGGCCTGCCTGGGCGCTTCTGTGGCCAACCGTTGGTCCATGCCAGAGGGTCCCCTCCCCACCCAGGGGCCGCCCAGCCCCGCAGGCACACCTACCGCCAGGCTCGCTGCTGAGGAAGTCCCCAAACTCCTCGGCTAAAGCCTCGTCGCTGGCAAAGGCACAGAGGCAGGCGAAGAAATGGATGCACCTGTGGCTGCCCTCCTGGGCGGCCTTGCTGGCCCTCAAGGACTGGCAGGGGCAGAAGAAGTGGGGCCCCGCAGGGCCCTTGGGGCCAGACCTGGGGGCAAAGGTGAGATGGAGGTAGCCCAAGCCGTGCTTGGGGCCGGCCTTGCCCTTGACCACCAGCACGTTCTTGGTGACCCTTTGGACCAGGGGCCCCATGGGCTGGGTGGCCAGCTCCCAGAGGGCCTGCTTGGTCTGGGGCGAGACCTGCATGGCGTTCAGGACGGAGCTCTTCAGGGTCAGGGGGGTGGCCTCCGCCTGGCAGCCCACGGCAAGCTTCAGGTGCTGGCACTGGTTCTCCGCCACCCCTTGGGACGCTGCCTTCAGGCACGCTGGGAGGTAGCAGCGCCCAGAGCTGAGCTGGGTGAGGAGGGTCCCATCCACCGTTTGGATGGTGGTCTCCGAGACGCCCAGCTCCACGAAGCACCGATACTCGGGGCCCCGGTCCCTCTGCCGCACCGAGTACACCTGGAGGTCTGAGCCGGTGATGATCTTGACGGCGTCAACGCCAGCCGGCTTCCGTGAGCCGTAGCGGAAGACGGTGCCACAGGTCTTGTTTTTGCAGCTCAGCCCACGCGTGCCGTTGTAGGTGCCACATCGGGGGCATTTCCGGATGCCTCTCAAGGTCGCTTTCCCCAGGTCGGATAAGAAAGCCGGGACTTTGCTCCTGGGGGAGCCGGAGTCCATCCTTCAGGGAACCTGGGCCAAGGAGGAGTGCGGTCAGCAGGAAAGGAAACCCTGCCCGAGTCCTCGGGGGACCCTTCTGGGATGGACTTAAACGGTTTTCCTGGGAATATTTGCCATCTCCAGTTCTTGCCTGAGGAAGAAAAGCACCAGAAATGGACTGCAGAAATTAGTGGGTCAGTGAAACGCTGTGGACGTTGTCTACTTAGATCTCAGTAAAGCATTTGGATAAAGTAGACCACAACTTACTTCTTGGCAAGCTAGAAAAATGTGGGATAAACAGCCCTACCACCAGGTGGGCTTGCAACTGGCTGACAAATCGTGTCTCAACAAGCAGCCCCTCGAGGAACCTAATGGAATTACGTACCCCGAGGTTCTGTTTCAGGACAATCCTGTTCACTCCCTTCCCAAACCATCTGACTGAGGGACTTGAAGGGCAACTCAGCGGATCTTCAGACGACACTAAGCTGGCAGGAACAGCCAACAGTCCAGAAGATCTTGACAGACTTGAACACTGGGCCCTATCTAGCAAAATGGAATTCAACATACGATAAAACTAAGGTGCAGACGAGGTGAAACTTGGCTTAAAGCAAGTCACTGTGAGAGGGATCTTGGAGCTCCAAGACAGGGGGTGTGCCATCTCCTAAAATGGAGGAGGACACGTCTTCACAACTGTTCCCCAGAGGAGCTGGCTGAACTGATCGGAGCCGCAGGAAAAGAAACCCGAGGCCTAAAGCAACAAAGAGAGGCTGGAAACACCCCCCCACCCCCACCCCCGGCCTTCCCCACCATCCGATGGCCCACCATTGCCAGGAGACGGTGTGGATCACCAAGGGGTCCAGCCCTGAGCCGAGGGCCCGTGGGCAGCCGCTCTGAGCCGGTCCCAGCCCTGCAGGGCACGGGGAAGGGCGGAACGCCCCAGGATTCTGGTGGTGTCACAATGAAGGCCCAGGCAGGTGCCCCGCCCCCACCCCAGCAGGACCCCCTCCCTGGCCCCGGGAGGAGGTGGGGGCCAGGAAGCCTCTTCTTCTCCTTGGGAGCAGCCCTGAAGAGGGGTCGGGCCAAACGCTCAGCAGTTGGGGAGGGAGGATCCCGTGGGGGTGCAAGGCCAGGGCCAGCTAGGGGGTGTGGGGGGGGCGGCGGGGGGGCGTGATCCCCAAGCACAGGGAGCTGCAAGGGGGGAGCTGTGGGCGCAGCAGCAGCAGCAGCAGCAGCGATGGCACCGGGCGGCTGGAGTGGGCAGGATGGGCCCCTTCAGCCTCTGCAGGGCGATTTTAAGGGCAGAATGAAGGGCCTCGACTCCCTGAGCGGAGGAGGGACTCCTTGGGGGCCTCCAAAGCCCCGGGCCGCAGCCTCCCCGGCAGGGAGTTTGGCGCTCGAAGAGGTGCCGGAGGGGGTCGCGGGGGGACCCTCGGTACATGCAACATGGGCTTCGGCCACCCTGCCCAAGGGAGGCGGCTCTGGGGGCCGGGGGGGAACGGAGGGCTCCGGAAGGCAGGGAAGGAGGCCCAACCCAGGGCGGCGAACCGGGGACCCCCGAAATCCAGGGATCGGGAGGCGCCGGAAGGGCCTGGGGGCCACCCGGCTGCAGGGGAGGCGAAGCGGCCGCCCCCTCCTCCCCTTGGACTGCCCGGCGAAAGGGGCGGACTAGAGGACCTCCGGAGCCCCCGCGCTTTTCATGCGCCGCCAAAGGCCGCCCGCGGGGAGACGCCGGGCTCGCCCCGGACTTCCTCCCCCGCAGCCAGCGCGGCCACCGAAGGGGGGTCTGGAGGGGGAGTTTCCCGGCCTGGGGGCCAGGGCGACGGGGACGCGGGCCAACACCTCCGGGAAGCCTCTCCGGGCCGAGCGAGGAGGGCCTGACCGGGGCGCTTCGTGTCCGGCCCGGGCGCCCGTTCCCGGCTGATCGCAAACTGGACTGTTATAAAATGGACGGACTTCAACTCCCAGAACGGCCCAGGCAGCATCGCCCCTGCTGGGAATTCTGGGAAGTGGAGTCCAAACACCCGGAAGCTGCTCCGCGCTGCCCGACCGTTTCTGACGTCACGCGCTACCGCCGCTCGCCTCCCCCGGCAACCCAGGAGCGCCAGGCCGCGCCTCGTCATTTCCTGCCCTCACGCCCCCCCCCTCCGGCCCCGGGGATCCCCTCTGCGTCGCCTTTACCTGGCGGCCCCCCCTCCCCACGTCCCGGCCCGGCGGCCGGCGAGGAAAGGCGGCGATCGGCGTCCACGATGGCTTCTTACAAACGGCTCGCGAAATCCTTCTGTAACGAGGGCTCTCATTGGCCGGGCCGGGCCGGGCCGCGCGAAGCACCACGGGAGACGGAGTCCGGGCCCCGCTCGTCCGGAAGAGGCACGTGGCGCTCTCCATCCAGGGGAGCCGTCGGGGGTTTCTCCGTTGTGCGCCCCCCCCCCCCCGCGGCGTCTCTGGCCTGGGAGCGGCGTCCCGGGGTTTGGGGGAGCCGTGCCGTCCCCCCCCCTTCCCCCGAAGCAAGTCTGGAATCGCCCAACACCGAAAGCATTTGGCACGTACAAGGCTGAAGGGGAGCTGACGTCTTTTATTAAGATCCTCGGGGCTTGTGCAAAGCCAGCGGGGCTTCTGGAGGGAAGTTCTTCAACTTCTGTACATAAGTATCAAAACACGCGCGCTTAACGGAAGCGGCCAAAGTCCATAGAGACGTGAAAACAAAACACCCAACCCCCCCCCCGGGCATCAGTGAGAAGAACCGCGCCCCACCTTCCGCCCCCACAGCCTGGTTGGGGCAACAAGGGAGACCCCAACAGCGGCTCTGAAAACGCTTCCGCGGCTGGCTCCGGGGACACAAGACCAGCCTCCTCCGAGGAGACCCCCAGGACAACCCACTGCTTTCAGGCCACTGTCGGACTGAAGCGGTAATACTTTTTAAAAAATACACTGAACATGTTTTTTGTTTTTTTTTGCCTTCCCCTTTCAAATATTTACATGTTGAAATGCATTAAAGCTTGAGTTACTGTCAACTCCCGGGACAATAACCGATGTCAAAAGCTTTCTTGGTTTGCTGGCTGTGGGACCTTAGCTGGCTTCTGTGAAAGAAATCTGTACTCAATTCTGCTATTGAAAATATATACAGAGAAAACTCCCCAAATGGCACCAGGCTCACTTCAGACCTATTCACATTTCTCCTTTAAAAGAATTGTGCAGGCAGAGATAGTAAGCAGAAAGATGACAGGTTTATACAAATTTTAAAGGAAGCAGACATGAGTGAAATCAATGTACAAGTTCAATGGCATCTTTTGGAAGATGCTTTATTTATAAAACGTTAGGGCCAAGATCTGTCTACAAGAGAACAATCTATTTTCCTAGCAGCCAGCCCTCTACTTTGGTTCTGGCCCCGCTTGTTCCATCAAATGGGTGGCTGGTCACTGTCTTGTGCATATCAGCAACTTCTCCATCCGTTGCTCCACTACAACCAATGCAGAACGGAAACCAAACACCTCCGTGTGCCCAGATGTTAACTGGGATATATAATGACTACGTCCAGGGTAGGGTTCTTTCTGCATCTTCTGAAAGCTAGCCAAGGAGGTAGGATAATGCTATTATTATTATTATTATTATTTATTTGGCCGCTGAACAATTCAAAAATGTTTTATCCAGTTGGTCCTTCAGGCTTCAGTTGGAGCATTCCTTTTTCTCCTGGCTTGACACACACACGATGCTCTAGAGTTTAATAGCTCTATCTGTCCCTGCTAAATCAAGCCAGACTTGCTCCAGGTGAGTAAAAAGCTGCTAAGACCAATGTATTCTCTATGTCTCTGAAAAATGAGAGCATGACTGTTTATTCAAAGTCTAACAGTGTATTAGATATTCACATGCAAAAGTCAAAGCTTAAATTATAGCCGTAAGTCCTGTAGAGCTCTTTCTGTCTCTTACTCTTTCAAAGGAGACATACAAAAGCGGAGCGACTTTTGTGAAAATATTAATTTGCTAAAATAGTTGACATGATAAAGGATACATGTAAATGTAAAAACGGGCAGGTTTTAAAAAGCTGGCTCCTAAGATTGTGTCACATTTTTAAGAAGATCTGAACTGGGCGAAGGAGGACTCAGAGTCGATGAACGGGGGGGCATCCCCCGGGCCCCTCCTGGCATCGAGCAGAGCCCAGAGCTGGATTCTCTGAGCACGAGGCACTTGCCCTTAGCCTGACTCCTACTTCATAATTTAATAGTGACAGTAAGGCAAAAACCACTTTCCGAAAAATGTTTAGATACAAAATAATGTAAACGAATAAGTTATATTTGAAATCCCAGTATAACAAAAGCAAGGAGATGGGACACTTTATACATCAGGCTCTCTTTGCACAGACTGAAGATTTCAATAAACCCCCAGAATTCACACAGTTTTGGCGCGTCTTTTTTCTCTCGTATAACTTCTTTCATGTACATTTAAGTCATATTAGGAATGCAAACTAGGCTGCATACTCAGTGGAAAAAAATGTTTGATATTGTGCAATTTCCTGCCGCTATACTAAAAGTGGCAGAAATCCCTGCATTAGTTGTGTTTCAAACATGGATCTTAAGAAACACATCTCAAAAGAGGAAAAGAAGGCAAAAGTTGGCAGATATCCAGCATCTAGTATTTCCTGTGTGTCTTTAAAAAAAAGCGTGGACAACAACGAAGTTTCATGATTAAAAATAAATACTGTTTGACTTTTGCACTGACTTGATTGGATAGATTTTTTTTTTAAGTAAACAAAGGATTTTACAATGCTCCATACAGCCTCAAAGCCACAGGTGTTCTATTCCAGAGTCCTTCTGTCTCTCACTGTGTTTCAAAACCTGCCATCCGATATCCAGTTTGACTAGTTAGAACACTTCCATTTTGCCCCTGGGGTGGTGGTGGGGGGGGCGGTGGAGGGGGTGGCACACCATAATTTGCACCCATCCATGCTGCAGATGGCTGTGTCTGACTGGATGGAAGAGGAAATGAGGTTAGATAAAGCTTGCACTGGAATAGGTAGACAACAGCAAGCAATCCTGTTGAGTATTTCTGGCATATTTTCCATAACGCGGGGAGCCTGGGACCCCAGCATTCTATCAACCTGACTGAGCCTTAAGTAGTAACCCTTTCATATTTTCAGACTACAGTAACTACGAACTGGGCATGTTTGAAGAAACCCAGTTCATCAAATGTTCCACTGCTGCTAGCTTCTAAGAGTTGTTTATTTAATCAACCTTTTGGTGAATAAAATTTATTACTATTTGGTGCTCCAAGTATAACACTGATTCATTTTACTACTTTGGAAGGACAGTCTACTTTTTGTAGTATGCTGCTTTTAATGATGGTTTAATTAGTATTTTAATCCCTTTTTTGCAACCTACAAACATATAAAAATAATCAAACTGGTGAAGACACAAATGCTGCCTTTCAAACAAGCACATAACAATAATCTATGAACATGTTAAAAATGAAAGTGCTCTAACTAGGCGTACTTTCCTTTTCATTACTGTCAGCAGGCCTCGGCCAACCCCGTCTCCCTTACCTGAATCCCTGGTTCCATGCCTGCCCATACATTCCATATGCAGGCACTTGCCAGCCATTGGGCATGTACTGGCCAATCTGCTGGGCGTTTCCATACCACTGGCCCCACTGCCCATAAGGGGGTGGGTAGCCCACTTGATTCTGCTGAAAAGGTTAATGATGGTCCAAAGTTAGCATGTAACACAGGCAACACATCGCTTTGCAAATTTATGTCTAACAAAGTACAGGGAAATCAGTTTACTTCATGTTGGAACACGTACAAGCTCTTCACTATGACACGTATCATAGCCAATTTCTACCCACTTCAACTAGGATCACAAGACTATAAATGAATAGCAAAGAAAAGGGATTTGGGATCCATCTTGAGGAAATATCTACGTATTAATTTTGGGAATGCTTTTCAGCAGGACAGGTAACTCTTACCTGTTGAATTGGGTTGATCATGTCTGGTGTCTCTTTACCCCAATAGCACTTCACCACATGTCCTTCTATTGTGGTGCCATTGACTGAAACAATGGCATGTGCAGCACTTTCATGAGAATTAAACCTGTAAAGCGCATACAAGGGAGTAAATTAACATAATCACCCTCATTTATGAGGCAGCAAATAA